GCTGACATCCCACGTGGTGGCAGGAGCCCGGAGCTAAGACACAGCTTTGTGCAAAGGGCCATCTCCTTCCACTGCCAGGGCTGAGCCAGCTCCCTCTTCTCCATAGGGGAGGGAGGGGCCGGCTCCTCCTTCTCACTCAGGTCACCCCACCCCCACCCCAAGCTGGGACGACCACCTGGGGGGGGTGGGGAGGAGGAGGAGGGGAGAGATTTTCTTCTGTGGGTCATTACCTCCTGATCTCTCACCGGGTTCTGGGGAGCACCCAGCCCCTCCAGGGGCACCTGCCCACCCAGCACTGCCAGGTTCTGAGCCCGGGCCCAGGCTGCATCTGAAGTCAGATACTGCTGAGCCCTCAGCAAGTCTCTCTAGGGTTTCTCTGCATCAATGGGGCAGCCGTTTCTCCCCACTGTCATTTCTGCCTCCTCTGAGCTCATTTTGAAAACGGATGCGCCGCGCTCAGAGACAGCCTGTGTGGGAGCCAAGTCACTGGTGTCTCAGAATTTTGGCTTTCTTTACTATGAAATGGGCATCGGGGCTGGTGGCGTGGTGTAGCGGGCAAAGCCGCTGCATGGGACACCGGCATCCCACATATGGGCACCGGTTTGAGTCCCGGCTGCTCCACTTCTGATCCAGCTCTCTGCTAATGCAACTAGGAAAGCAGCAGAAGATGGGCCGAGTCCTTGGGCCCCTGCACCCACGTGGGAGACCTGGAAGAAGCTCCTGGCTCCTGGCTTCGGATCAGCGCAGCTCTAGCCATTTGCAGAGTGAACCAATGGATGGAAGACCTCTCTCTCCCTCCCTCCCTTCCTCTCTCTCTGTAACTCTTTTAAAATAAATAAATCTTAAAAAAATAAAATAGGGATCAGTGTCATTTTCTGGCTTAAAACCTGGTGGGTACTGTTGGCAGTTATTCTGCAACAGAGGGCACAAAGCAGGAGGGGTTGATAAGGACCTTTTTTTTTTTTTTTTTTTTTTTTTTTTGACAGGCAGAGTGGACAGTGAGAGAGAGAGACAGAGAGAAAGGTCTTCCTTTGCCGTTAGTTCACCCTCCAATGGCTGCCGCGGCCGGCACACTGCGCTGATCCGATGGCAGGAGCCAGGAGCCAGGTGCTTCTGGTCTCCCATGGGGTGCAGGGCCCAAGCACTTGGGCCATCCTCCACTGCACTCCCTGGCCACAGCAGAGAGCTGGCCTGGAAGAGGGGCAACCGGGACAGAATCCGGCGCCCCAACCGGGACTAGAACCCGGTGTGCCGGCGCCGCAAGGCGGAGGATTAACCTAGTGAGCCGCAGCGCCGGCCGATAAGGACCATTTTGTATCTAATGTAACTTGAACACTAACAGCATTTCATATTCTATTTCTTCCTACTGTCTTGTTCATGCCTTCCATAATACCAGGCACACAGTAGGGGCTCAATTAAAGCTCATAAATGACTGAGTCAGGCATGCGTGGCTGACCCCATCAGGACCGCTGTGTACCCCGGCTCTGTGTTGATGGATGGTGGGCGGGTGCACGGCGTGAGCTTGCACTGCCTCAGCCCGGTGCGTCTCTGGGGAGCGGTATTCTGGTGGAAGGTGGAAGGTGGAAAGGAAAAACGCTGGGGCCAGCCCTGCGGCAAAGCAGGTTAAAGCCGCCGCCTGCAGTGCCAGCATCCTATACGGGCACCGGTTCGAGTCCCAGCTGCTCCACATCCGATCCCGCTCCCTGCTAGTGTGCCTAGGAAAGCAGCGGGAGATGGCCCAAGTGCTTGGACCCCTGCTACCCATGTGGGAGTCTCAGATGAAGCTCCTGGCTCTTGGCTTCAGCCTGGCCCAGCCCCATTTATTGTGGCCATTTGGGGAGTGAACCAGGGGATGGAAGACTTTCTCTCTCTCTCTCTCTCTCTCTCTCTCTCTCTCTCCTCTTCTCTCTGTAACTCTTTGTTTCTTTCCCTCCCTTCCTTCCTTCCTTTCTTCCTTTCTTCCTTTCTTTCTCTGAGAGGTAGAGTTACAGACAGAGGGAGAGGCAGAGAGAGAGGTCTTCTATACTCTCGTTCAAAATCCAAATGGCCACAATGCTTGGAGCTGGACCAATCGGAAGCCAGGAGCTTCTTCTGGGTCTCCCACGTGGGTGCAGGGGCCCAAGAACTTGGGCCATCTTCTACTGCTTTCCCAGGCCACAGCAGAGAGCTGGATGGGAAGTGGAGCAGCTGGAACTCAAACTGGCACCCAATGGGATGCCGGCACCACAGGAGGAGGCTTAGTCCACTAAGCCACAGTGCCACACCCCGAACTCTGACTTTCAAATAAATAAATAATAAATCTTAAAAAAAAAAAAAAAAAAAGACTGATGGGGTCTCTGACCTGGTGACGGGACGCTGGGATTGCTCCGTGGTGTGAATGACAGGTTCATTGGCTGATGTCTGTCCCAGCAGATGGGACGTGACCCAGCAGTCCTCCAGCAGGGGTCTGGCTCAGTGACAGTGCACTTACACCTGCTGTTTAAAAGCAATGGCAGGGGCCGGCGCTGTGGCTTAGTGGGTAAAGCCGCTGCCTGCAGTGCTGGCATCCCATGTGGGTGCTGGTTCGAGTCCCGGCTGCTCCACTTCTGATCCAGCTCCCTGCTAATACACCTGAGAAAGCAGCAGAGGGTGGCCCAAGTGCTGGGACCCTGCCACCCACGTGGGAGACCTGGAAGAAGCTCCTGGTTCCTGGTTTTGTGACTATTCAGGCCGTGAACCAGCAGACAGAAGGTAGCTCTCTCTTGTAGCTCAAAGACCTAAACATGAGAGCTAAAAGCTGGAGATTCTTCAAAGAAAGCTCAGGGCAAATCTTCACATTCTGGAGTTTACACAGTGACACCGAACGCACAGGGGGAGCAACTGGACATCTATGCTGCGAGCTTTCGTTTGCAAAGACCACCACCAAGAGACACAGACTAGGAGCAGGTATCTGCCAATCACCTATCAGGTAAGGAACACGCACCCAGAAGATCTAAACTCTCCTTTGCGAGCGATAAAAACACCAATGATCCCATTTCAAAACAGGCGCAAGACTTGCATAGATGTTTTTGCAAAGCAGACAGATGCGCGCGCACAGGTGCCTGCCTGGAAAGCCGCGTGACCTCGGGGAAGTGCAAATGCAGACCACATCGAAGACACCGCCCCATGTCCACTCGCATGGGGCCGGTGAGAGGAGCGAGCTGGGATCTCTCTGCGCCACCTGGTTTCCAAGCCATGCAAACGCGCGCACAATTCCAGAAGAAGTCCTTGGCTCTCCAGCTCTTTGCAAAGGGGGAAGCCACCAGACTGGACCAGAGATCAGCCTCGGGGGCGGGGGGAGGGAGTAGCAGGAAGACCCCTCCCCTTCCCAAAGCCAGAAAGAACAGAAGTTTCAGAAAAGGAGATCCGTTGGTGGTTAGCAGGCAGAGGAAGACGGCTCTCTGCTGGCTGGGGCCGTGAGCTGGGAGGGCTCCCCGGCGGCAGCAGCCCTGGGGCGCGCACAGCCCAGGGACTCTCCCCTGCCCCCAGAGACCCGAGTACAGCCAGGAGCGAAGATTCTTAGAGGCCCTGCCCCTGCTGTTGCCTGCCTTGCTTGGCTGGTTAACCAGGGCTGTACCCAGAAGCCCCGGGGTCACAGCGGGGGTGGGGAAAAGACAGAGGTGTGGGTTGGTTGGTTGGTTGGTTGGTTCCAACGCAAATCTTTTCAGAGCCTTTGCACATGGCCTTTCCTAGGTGGCACTTTAGGTTTTTAAGGGACGGCTGGTGGCTCTTGCACTCTTGACAGCGGGTGAGCGGAAGGAGGGAGTCGAAATCTAGTGTTGGCGGGGGCCCGTGTCTGTGAGCCGTGAGAGCCGGGATGCCCGGCTGGGCCAGGTCACCGCTCCAGCTGGTTCCCCACTTGTGGTCCCTGGGCCCCCGCCCTGTGCCCCCGAGCCATTTCAACCACCTCATCATCACTGCTCTATCCAACTGTCTCAGAACAAACGCCACGTATTGGCCGGGTACCTGTCGGGGCTCTCGGTCGCTGGACACAAAAGGGCATTGGAGAAAAGACATGCTCGCTGCCTGGGGTGTGGCAGACAGAGCAGGGAGAGGCCTGGGCTGCCCCTCCCCTACGGGGCCTGGGGTCCCACTTGCAAGGGGGAGGAAGAAGGGGAGGCCCCCTCGCCTGCTCTAGGAATCCACACTTCCGAGGCATGTGTGGGCAACCCTTTAAAATCGCCCTGCTCGAAACACTCTAGGCTAAGCGGTCCCGTGTCTTCCACAAATAAACAGCAATGGGAAAACAACAACAAGGAGCCAGGGGGAGGACTGGTACAGACTCAAATGTGCACCCACAGGTCTACCATGGGTGGTATCAAGACGCCTCCCCGCTCCCCGATAGGAAGCAGTAGGGCAGAAAAGACACCCAGACCACCAGGAGTGTCTGAGCACCCACTGGCTAGCTGCCGATGCTAAGAGTGGTGATGGGGTGAGGGGGCTGACGGTTCGGTTTTGAAGTGTCTGCAAATCACACCGCGTGATGTTTGGGTCCAGTATGGGGCCGGCGCTGTGACGCAGCAAAATTAAGGCGCTGCTTGCAACACCCACATCCCTCATCCCTGCTAACGCACCTGGGAAGGCAGTGGGAGATGGCCCGAGCGCTTGGGTCCCTGCCACCCACATGGGAGACCCGGATGGAGTCTCTGCCTCCCACTTCAGCCTGGCCCAGCCCTGGCTACTGCAGTGGACGGCAGATCTCTTGTTCAAACAGATACACACATCTGGAATAAGAGATCCAGTGGGGAGGGCGGCATGGCCCCCGAGCTGCTTCCGCTACCCTGCTCCTGGAAGGAGGTCCTGCACCCCCCCCCCACACCCCACCCCACCCCCAGACAGGGCCCAGCCCGGCAGCTCCACGTGCAGGTGCTGGGGGCGGCCCGGGGGCCTGGCCACGCGTGCGAATTCACTGCCCGCACCCCGCCAAGAGCCCACTGGGCCCTCGGAGCCCCGCTTCCCCAGGCGCCCCGGCTGCTACTCACACCGCTCCCTGCGGCTGCCCGGCTCCGGCCGCCTCGCCTGCTCGGGCCGGCGGCTGCTGCTGCTGCGACCACTCATTACTCAGGCTGTTTATTATTAGCCGTCGATTTCATTAGTGCCGGGCTGTACTTCCTGGGTTTTCCCCTCAACCTGAAGATGTAAATCAGACACTCCCACCCCGCGCCTGCGCAGCCCGAGGCTCCCCAAGCGAGTGGCCCACTGTGTAGGGGCTCAGTGCAGGCCTGGGGGCCCCCGAGGGAATCAGCTCCGTTTTGTTCCAGCCCTGCCCCCCCAACCCTCTGCCCCAGGGTCCTGAGCTCCACCTGCACACGTCTAGGCGAGGCTGGCTGAACCAGCTCTCCGCCCCTCAACATCATTCAGGCACCCCCGGGCTTCCTGCGCAGCCACTTCTTACCTCGTCGTCTTGTTCTGTCTTCTAAGAGCTCCTTGTGAAGGTGTGTCACCTCCTCCGGGAAGCCAGCCCTGACTGCCCCCAGCCCAGGTTACCCCAAGTGTGACGCCTGTCAAAGCTGAACACTGGGAGCTAGCTACACCGCGGCCACAGCCAGAATCCTAACTCTGCCACAGGCCAGCGGGAAGACTCGACGGCAATGGAGCTGATCTCACGGGTCCTGAATTTTCTCTCCTGTGTGTGCGCCGCTGGGCAGCGTGAGAGCAAGAGGCGTTAACCCAGCCCTGCCACTCAGTTCCCCTTCAGCGACATCAGGGAGTCAAACCCTTGGGACGGAACTCGGGGCACCCTTCCCCCACCCCCATCCACCCTCACCCCGGTTCTGCATCAGGCAAGACGGGAAATCAGTTGGAACTCTCCTCAGCTAGTGAACGAAGGGTGGGGCTCTTCCTGGTTGTACAACCGGGTCACCTGTGACAACCCGGTGTGACAACAGGGACCTAGAGGCGTTGTGGTTGGGCGACATAAGCCACACAAAGATGAGCGCCGCATGGGGCCGGCGCTGTGGCTCAGGGGGTTAAGCCGCAGCCTGCAGCACCAGCATCCCATATGGGGGCGCCTGTTCGAGTCCCGGCTGCTCCGCTTCCGATCCTGTTCCCTGCTAATGCACCTGGGAAGGCAGCAGAAGGTGGCCTCTGCCATCCACACGGGAGACCTGGCAGAAGCTCCTGGCTCCTGGCTTCAGCCTGGCCTGGCCCAGCCCTGGCTATGTGGCCATTTGGGGGAAGTGAACCAGCAGATGGAAGATCTCTCTCTGGGTGTCTCTCCTTCTCTGTAACTCTGCCTTTCAAATAAATACATAAATTTGGGGGGGGATAGGGGATATGAAGAGGCTGGTGGAGGGAGATAGGACGGAGATAGGAGGGAGGGTTCGTTCTGTTGCTCGCTGGTATTATAACACATCTCAAAATAGCCTCAATCGACGCGGTGTGACCCAGGGAGCTAAGCCTCCTGTTGGGACCCCCCCCCATCACATGTCGAGTGCCTGGGATTCCGATGCTGGCTCCATCCCGACTCCAGCTCTCTGCTACTCTGTGCTCTGGCCGCCCACCACCCTCATGGAGAGGTGACCCGCAGTGAGCTTCCGGCTTCCAGTTGTAACCGCATCACCCATCAGTGGTAAGCCACTTTTTGTCCCTCCTTGGGTTGGCAGAGTGTTTGGGGTTGATGCTACCAGATGCTGGCTGGGCAGGGGGCGAGGCAGGGAGGGGGCACCTAGGGGACCAGCAGTTACCTCCTCCTAGAGGGAGGGAGGCAGGGAGGCGGGGCACCCTTGAGATGGGCATTTTGCCATGGCCAATTAAAATGCAGGATGCTGCACACCCCCGGATTGCAAAGTGTTTTGGTGCCCATATAAACTCAGGTTTTTAAGGCTAATGGCGTCCAGGGACGGGGGACAATTGCAGTGCCCTCCAGGGATTGCCATTTGCTGTAGCATTTGAGACACTGCGTGGACACCTACATCCCATGTCTGAGTGCCCGGGTTCGAGTCCCGGGCTCTGCTCTGCATGCCAGCTTCAGATTTTGGCACAAGGCCTTGAGCCCCTCTCTCCTACTAGGAGACCCGGATGGAGATCCTTGCTCCTAGCCCAGTCCTTGCTCCTAGCCCAGTCCTGGCTGTTGTGGGCATTTGGGGAGTGAACCAGCGAATGAGAGCTCTCTCTCTCTCTCTCTCTCTCTCTCTCTCTCTCTCTCCTTTCAAATAAAATAATCCAAATGGAGGCCCGGGGGAATCAGCCCGGGGGAGGAAAAATAAAGTACAACAATGCCTTCACATTCAGGATAGAAAATTGTATTTGGTCTAGAACGCTGGATTTTTGTCAATGAAAAGAGGGACCATTGGGGATTGAACCAGTGGTGGGATATTTCTGTCTGGCTCTGTATCAGGTAAATTTGTAAGGATTCAGATGTTCATACAGTACAGCGTGCGGAATTAGCAGCTGCACAGGTCGTGAGGAGGAATCTGTGCAAAGTTAAAGAGGGTGAGATGAGGCTGGCACTGTGGCGTAGCGGGTAGAGCCGCCGCCTGCAGTATCGGCATCCCATATGGGCGCTGGTTCAAGACCCGCCTGCTCCACTTCCAATCCAGCTCTCTGCTGTGGCCTGGGAAAGCAGCAGATAATGGCCCAAGCCCTTGGGCCCCTGCACCCGCGTGGGAGACCCAGAAGAAGCTCCTGGCTCCTGGCTTCAGCCTGGCCCATCTCTGGCTAGTGCGGCCATTTGGGGAGTGACCCAGTGGATGGAGGGTCTCTCTCTCTGTCTCTTCCTTCTCTCTCTCTGTAACTCTGCCTTTCAAATTAAATAAATAAATAAATAGGGTGAGACGGATCTGAAGAGTTGCCAGGGCAGAGTGCCAAGAAGAAAATGTAGATTCTACGTGAGACTAGAAGGTACCATACCTTCCGGGAAAACAAAACCAAAACTAACATGTGACACTCATATGGAACCGCCCTGTGTGGTCCAGGATTGCATATGTGGGAACTGATGCCTGGGAATTCTGGGGGACTCACATGGGGGCAGCCACTACCCCAGGTGCGGCAAGAGGAGACAGGCCATGTAAAATCATTTAAAAAAGATTCTAGGGGCCAGCGCTGTGGTGTAGTGGGTTAAAGCCCCAGCTTGCGGCACCAGCATCCTATGTGGGCGCTGATTCTAGTCCCAGCTGCTCCACTTCCCATCCAGCTCTCTGCTATAGCCTGGGAAAGCAGTGGAAGATGGCCCAAGTCTTTGGGCCCCTGCCGCCCACTTAGGAGACCCACTGGAGTTCCAAGTTCCTGGCTTTGGCTTGACCCAGCCCTGCCCATTGCAGGAAGAAAACCAGCGGGTGGGAAATCTCTCACCCTCTCCCTGTAACTGCCTTTCAAATAAATAAATAAATAAATAAATAAATAAATAAATAAATCTTTTAAAAAATTGTTCTGTAATTTAAGAAGAGAGATTTTTAAAAAAAGAGAGCCAGTGTGTGACACCATGAAATGAAAAACAGACAAAATGCAGGCTGATGGAGCCGGCACTGTGGTGCAGTAGGTTAAGCTTCTGCCTACAGCGCCGGTATCCGATATGGGCGCTGGTTCAAGTCCCGGCTGCTCCTCTTCTGATCCAGCATCCTGCTAATGCGCCTGGGAAAGCAGCGAAAGATGACCCCAGTGCTTGGGCCCCTGCACTTGCGGGGAGACCGAGAAGAAGCTCCTGGCTCCTGACTCCAGATTGACCCAGCTCCAGTCATTGCAGCCATCTGGGGAGTGAACCAGCAGATGGAAGATCTCTCTGTCTGTCCGCAGCTCTGCCTCTCAAATAAATAAATAAATCTTTAAATAAAAATGCAGGCTGACTTGGGTTGCGCTGGGGGTCCAGGGGCAGGGTTCCGGCTGCCAGCTGCTCGTGGCTGTCCACACACTCGCTCAGCCGGGCCCCAGCAGGTGCGGGAGGTTTCCGAACGTCATTTCTGAAACCAGCCCCTGTGAGCTGTCTCCCTGGGGGAGCAGGGTTCTAATTTTAGGTTCCCTGGTCAGAGTGAAGGCAAGTGTAGGACTTTAGAGTTTGGAAACCGGTTCCTTTATACAAGTAACCAGTTCAACGCATGTGTGGGAAAGAAAAGACTCCCACAGGGGAGAAGGCGCTGACATGACAAGTCAGTCTCCTCCCATCTAGAGACCCTACCCCTGTTGTCTCTGGCATCCTATGGTGCCCGGGCACACACAACACGTGTGACACACATGGCATGCCTGATACATGTGTGTTGTACATGAAACACATGTGTGACGCATGTCACAAAGCCACATGTGCTTGTATGCATCATACATGTCACACCTGTGTTGTGTGTGGCATGCACATGCATGTTGTGTGTGACATGTGTGTTATGTGTAAAGCATGTGTGCTATGCATGACGCTACATACACGTGTCATTGAATGATGCATTTCCCTTCACCCCTCCTAGCCCCCCCCACATATTGCTAATGCATATAAATCAAATGTACTGCTCAGCACGTTTGCTTATTTTTTTCATTCACTATCTCCTACCTGTCAGAACTGATCTTTTTTTTTTTAAAGATGCATTTATTTGAGGCTGGCATTGTGGTACAGCGGGTTAAGCTGCCTCCTGCAACACCAGCACCCCATATGGGCACTGGTTTGAGTCCCGGCTGCTCCACTTCCAATCCAGCTCTCTGCTATGGCCTGGGAAAGCAGTGGAAGATGGCCCAAGTCCCTGGGCCCCTGCACCTGCGTGGGAGACCCGGATGAAGCTCCTAGCTTCTGCCTGGCTCAGCCCTGTTTGTTGTGGCCATTTTGGGGGTGAACAAGTGAATGGAAGATCTTTCTCTCTCTCTAACTCTGCCTTTCAAATAAATCTTTTAGAAAGGAAAATTTACAAAGAAAGAGCATTTGGGCCATCTTCCGCTGCTTTCAGGTGCATGGGCAGGAAGTTGGATTGGAAGAAGAGCAGCCGGGACTTGAACAAGCGTCCACATGGGATGCCAGTGTCACAGGTGGCAGCTTCACCCCCCTCCACCCCAACGCTTGCCCCAGTAATAATCTTTTTTTTTTTTTGCAGGCAGAGTGGACAGTAAGAGAGACAGAGAGAAAGGTCTTCCTTTTCCATTGGTTCACCCCCCAATGGCCGCTGCAGCCAGTTTGATGCTGGCCGG